CACAGAAATCTAGTTACATATGAATAATCTAGTTAAAAATGACAAATTCCATAGATCTGTAAGTGTCATACTTTAGGTATATTGTGGGTTAAATAGATCTTTGTACTCAGAAAACCTAACCACTGTTTAATGTGCTGTTTCTAAGCAAAAAATGCATCCCCATTAGAAATTACGCATCTGTAAGTGGGTGAAGACTATCTGTAAATTGAGCAGTCTATAATATTAAAAGCTGTGTTTAATTTCATTTTGCCTTAAAATGGTCTAGAGGTATGTGTAATAAGCAACTATTTTAATCAAACCTTGGTATTCATAGTAAACAATGCCTGCCAGCCCGGCACTGAACAACAGTTAACAATACACTTCTTTGTCTTTGCCTTTTAGGAGTGGTCACAGGCCTGAACAGCAGAGATAAGGTTTTCTTTTCTCTAACAAGAAGCAATAAAAAGCAGACATTATAAAAAACTTGAGACAAAACACATGTATCTAGAAGGCTATTTGCCCAACTAACTTCAAGGTCACTAAGAGAGTACAATCAAGATATATTCCATGGAGACAGCAATGCCAGGAATAATGCTATAAAGACCTTCAGTTTCTATCCTGTTCATTAAGGAGTACAGTCCATCCACAAAGGAGCAACACAGGTAGAAAGCAGTTTAACATTCAATTCAAATAAAATAATTTGTCTCATTATCTGATAAATTACGAATATCGGAGGCAGAAATTATCAAAATGAGACCTCTCACTTTACTCATGAAGAAACAGGCAAAAGACCTACATCCTTAACCAAGTTCATTGTCCACAGCGGCAGACCCAGGATTAGAACCCAAGTCTCTCAGATATACACCCCAGGCCAGGGCTGAGAAGAAAAGCACATTCGGAAAATGCACAACACTTCATTGATTCATGGCCCTCACCTCTAGCAAACTCCTACCTAGCTGTGTGCTTAGTTGAGAATATAATCATGCAAAATGCTCATCATCTATAATCTCTCAGTGAAAATGAATCATCAGACCTTGCATGCAAGATTCCCTCTGGATGAAGATACCATCAATAACGTATCTTATAGTGCAAGTCAAATAGGATGCCTGTGGTGGTGATCACCCAGGTATATGCACTTGTCCAAATTCATCAGTTTGTAATCAAAATGGGTATATTTTACTGTATATAAATTCTATATCAGTATAATTAATTTAATAACATAGTATGCCTGTGTTGTTCAGTTTAAACAAAGGCTTCAAAGTCCTGCAGCTCCTTCTGTAGCCCTTGGTTCCTAACCAGTTCCTGCCATTGCTGTCACTATGGAATATATCTTGATTATACTCTTAGTGACTATGAAGTTACCTGGGTAAATAGCTCTCTGTTAAAAAAGAGATAAGCCCTGGAAGGTGGTTGGATCATTGTCCTACACACCAACGGGTTGCAGGTTCAATTCCCAGTTAGAAACATACCTAGGTTGCAGGTTCAATCCCCAGTCAGGGTGCATATGGGAGGCAACCAATTGAGGTTTCTCTCTCACATGGATCCATCTCTCTCTCTTTCCCTTCCCCTCTCTCCAAAATCAATAAACACATCCTCGGGTGAGAATTAAAAAAACAAAACAAAAAAGAAACAAAAGATGTAAAACGGAGTCATTTGTGCCAGGCCCCACATCAGCAAACCAAGATTTAATACTTAACCTAATTGCAGTTTTAGCCTCTCCCAGAAACGGAACCTTTGACGAGTCAATGTGGAATTACCAGGCCAGCACTAGTGAAGTAATCTGCCTGATAGGCCCCTTAGGAGGTCCTGTCCCTTAGGAGGAGGACCTTGCCTGAAACAATGCATTCATTCTTTGCTAATAATTTCCTTTCTAATAATTCCTCTGCAAGACCCCTTTCTGCCTTTAAAACATTTCCTTTTCTATAGCTCAGGTGAGCTTCTTTTTATTTGCTAGATGAGATGCTGCTTGAATCATGTGTCATGAATCATTGAATAAAGCCAACTTAATATTTAAATTTACTCAGTTGAATTTTGTTTTCTAACGCCTCTTAGTGATTTTGAACTTAGTTTGGCAAATATCCTTCTAGATACATGTGTTTGTCAGTAAAAGCTACTAAAAGTTTATGTCCAAGTCAGGGGTCATCAAAAGAGTCCTGTCCCTAAGTTGAACCTGAAGAGACTTCATAGGCCATTATGAGTCTAACTATATCCTCTCTGAAATCGGCCCTCTTGGAAGTATGATACTTACTGTGGATCACCTGCCTATGGAACAGCTGGTAGAGCATTATACTCTAACTCAGACGGATATACAGGACTCTGCTGAAAGATCCAGTTACCTGGCTGGGGTGTGAATGATGGAAAAACTGTCATGCCAAAAAATCACAGCCCACATCTAAAAAAACACTTCAATAATACCTTCTTAATTTGTAAGGTCTGTGTCACAGTATTCAGAGCATTGTGAGAAACATTTTCTCATCTGATCTTCACAATGCCTGTGCAGAGACAGCAAGACAGGAGTCACTGCACATGGATGACATCACCACAATCTAAGACCTTCAGACGGCAGACATGAACGGTAAGCCACAGACTACTGAGAACCGGCTCTAAGGACCTTGTTAGGAATCAGAGTCTTCAGCAGGAATCCTAGTGTGATTCTTCATTATGACAAGATCTATAATTGTCCAAAATCACCTAAAATTGCAGGTTAGAAGATAACCAAGATGTACTTTACTCTTTCAGAGTTAGCTCTGCATTCTGGAAGAAATTAGGATGATCAAGTCATATTAAAATATACACTGCATTCTGTCATAATTCTATACGAAGAATGTTAAGTTAAATGAAAAACAATAGATAGAAATTCATTTGATTAGCACAGAATTGTTAGAATGAAAACTAAGTTCAATGAATAATTTAAATCTCATTTAGGCAAGTTTTTTTAAACTTTCATTTTTTTTTTGTTTTTGTTTTTTTATCCTCACCCGAGGACATTTTCCCATTTTTTTTTTCAGGTAGAGTGGGAGGGAGAGAGAGGAACAGAGAGAGAGAGAGAGAGAAACATCGATGTGAAAGGAACACATCGAGTGGCTGCCACCCGCACCACCGACCAGGGCCGGGGACAAACCGCAACCGAGGTACGCGCCCTTAGCGGGAACCGAACCCGGGTCTCTCAGGACCGCAGGTCGAAGCTCTAACCGCTGAGCCAAACCGGCCGGGGCTAAACTTTCGTATTTTTAAACATGAAGACCTGGCAAAAATATCAGCAATATTTAAATATAAACAGGATGAAACTTGGCTTACTCTTTTTTAAAATAGAGGAGCATGTTTCACATATTTATACTAGGGCTCTACTTTGTAAAGCAGAAGGTAGGAAGAATATGAGGCTACAATTCCGGGGAAGAAAACAGTATAAAGAAAGGGCATCTTTGGACTGTTGATGGGATCCAGGAAGAATGTACTGGAGTGTCTACAAAAGGGAATTTAGCAGGAATTCAGGAACTCTGGAGCTAATTTAAATGCATGCAAATGCTCGCAAGAGGGCTAAAATAAGATTTAAAGGATTTCTTTGAGGTGTAACACATTCACCTTATCAGGCCTGTTTAGCACAAACAAAATTAAAATCTTGCATCTCCTTGTCAGACAAGGTATAAGAGAAGCTGTGCTGCACACAGAGATTTCAGGACAATTCTCCAGCTACCAAGCACTTTTTTTTTTTTTTTAATTAAATTAATTTATTTTTGTTAGAGATGTTTCTCCTTTTCCTCCCATAGACACCCTCCTCCCATTCCCACTCCCCACGTCTGCAGCATTGTTGTCTATGTCAATTGGTTATGCTTATATGTATAAGTTTTTCGGTTTATCTCTTCCCTCCCTCCCCTCCCCTGCCTGCTCCTCAGTAGTTTGCCAGTCTGAACCCTATTTCTATGTCTCTGGGTCTATTTTGTTCAACACCTTATTTTGTTCATTATATTCCACAAATGAGTGAGATCATGTGATACTTGTCTTTGACTGGCTTATTTCGCTTAGCATAATAGTCTCCAGGTCCCTCCATGTCTCTCAAAAGATAAGAGATCTTTCTTTCTTACAGCTGCACAGTATTCCATTGTGTATATGTACCACTGCTTTTTTATCCACTCATCTACTGATGACCACTTGGGCTGTTTCCAGATCTTAGCAATTGTAAATAGTGCTACTATGAACATAGGGGTACAGATATCCTTTCTCATTGGTGTTTCAGGCTTCTTAGGATATATTCCTAGAAGTGGGATCACTGGGTCAAATGACAGTTCCATTTTTAACTTTTTGAGGAAATACCATATTGTTTTCCACAGTGGCTGCACCAGTCTGCATTCCCACCAGCAGTGTACTAGAGTCCTCTTTTCTCCACACCCTCGCCAGCACTTGTTTGAAGATTTGTTGATGGCATCCATTCCGGCAGGTGTTAGGTGATACCTCATAGTTCAGCGGTTCTCAACCTGTGGATCGCGAGCCCGTTGGGGGTTGAACAACCCTTTCACTGGGGTCGCATAAGACCTAACAGTAGCAAAATTACAGTTATGAAGTAACAACAAAAATCATTTTATGGTTGGGGGTCACAACATGAGGAACTGTATTAAAGGGTCGTGGCATTAGGAAGGTTGAGAATCACTGTAATTGTTTTAATTTGCATCTCTGACGATTAATGACGTTGAGCATTTTTTCATATGCCTCTTGGCCATGTGTATGTCCTGCTTGGAGAAGTGTCTATTTAGCTCCTCTGCCCATTTTTTAATTGTATTTTGTCTTCCTTTTGTTGAGTTGTATGAGTACTCTACATATTTTGAAATTAACACCTTATTTGACGTCTCGTTGGCAATTATGCTCTCCCACACAGTGGGTTCCCTTTCCATGTTGATTGTTTCCTTTGCTGTGCAGAGCTTTTTAGTTTGATGTAGTCCCTTGTATTAATTTTTTCCTTTGTTTCTCTTGCCTTAGGTGTTGTATCAGTGAAAATTCTGCTGCGTGTGATGTCTAAAATTCTGTTCCCTACATATTCTTCTAGGATTTTTGTGGATTCAGGAGTCACATGTAAGTCTTTTATCCATTTTGAGTTTATTCTTGTGTATGGTGTAAGTTGGTGGTCTAGTTTTTTTTGGTTTTTTTGCGTCTAGCTGTCCAATTTTCCCACCACCATTTATTAAAGAGGCTGTCTTTACTCCATTGTATGCTCTTACCACCTCTGCAAATATTAATTAAGCATAATGTCTTGGGTCAATATCTGGGTTCTCTGTTCTGTTCCATTGATCTATATGCCTGTTCTTTTTTTTCATCCTCACCAGAGGACATTTTTCCATTTTTTGCACAGATAGAGTGGGAGGGAGAGAGAGGAAGAGAGAGAAACATCGACGTGAAAGGGACACATCGAGTGGCTGCCACCCGCACGACCAACCAGGGCTGGGAACAAACTGCAACCGAGGTACATGCCCTTAGCGGGAACCGAACCTGGGTCTCTCCGGACCGCAGGCCGACGCTCTAACCGCGGAGCCAAACCGGCCAGGGCTATATGCCTGTTCTTGTGGCAGTACGTACCAGGCTGTTTTGATTATAATGGCTTTGTAGCATAACCTGATATACGGTATTGTGATCCCTCCTACTTTGTTCTTCTTTTTCAAAATTGCTGTGAATATTAAGGGTCTTTTTTGGTTCCATATAAACTTTTGAAATATTTGTCCTAGTTCTGTGAAATATGTCATTGGTATTTTTTTTTTTATCCTCACCCGAGGACATTTTTCCATTTTTTGTTCAGGTAATGTTGAAGGGAGGGAGGGAGGGAGGGAGGGAGGGAGGGAGGGAGAGGAAGGGAGAGAGAGACATACACACAGACAGACAGACAGACAGGCAGACAGACATCAACGTGAAAGGGACACATCAAGTAGCTGCCACCTGCACAACCCAGCCACCTGCACAACCCAACCAGGGCCAGGAACAAACTACAACCAAGGTACATGCCCTTAGCGGGAACCGAACCTGGGTCTCTCTGAACTGCAGGCCAACACTCTAACCACTGAGCCAAGCCAGCCAGGGCTGTCATTGGTATTTTAATGGGGATTGCACTGAATCTATAGATTGCTTTGGGTAGTACGGACATTTTTTAATTTTTTAATTTTTTTTTTACTTTTTATTTTATTATTTTTTTTATCCTCACTTGAGGACATTTTTCCATTTTTTGTTCAGAGAGAGCGGGAGGGAGGGAGGGATAGAAAGAGAGAGAGAGAGAGAGAGAGAGAGAGAGAGAAACATCGATGTGAAAGGGACACATTGAGTGGCTGCCACCCGCACAACCAACCAGGGCCGGGGACAAACTGCAACCGAGGTACGTGCCCCTAGCGGGAACCGAACCCGGGTCTCTCTGTACCGCAGGCCGACGCTCCAACCGCTGAGCCAAACCGGCCAGGGCAGTATGGACATTTTAATGATGTTAATTCTTCCAATCCAAGAATAAAGTATATGCTTCTGCTTTTTTTTATCTTCCTCTATTTCTTTTTTCAATGTCCTGTAGTTTTCTGCAAACAGGTCCTTTACTTCTTTGGTTAAATTTATTCCTAGATATCTTAAATTTTTTGTTGCAGTGGTAAATGAAATTGTTTTTCCAGTTTCTCTTTCTGTGTGTTCATTACTGGTGTATAAAAATATCAATAAGGACTTCCGGTCAAGATGGCGGCGTAGGTAAACACAGTATCGCGTCCTCCCAAAACCACATCAAAGTTACAACTAAACTACAGAACAACCATCATTCAAAACTGCCTGAAATCAAGCTGAACAGAAATCCTACAACTACGGAATTAAAGAAGCAGCCACGTCGAGACTGATACGAGGAGCAGAGGCGGACGAGCTGGTCCCACATCCATGAGTGGCGAATAAAAATCAGGAGGACACCCCGGCTGAGAAGGTCCTCCCTGAGGACTGAGAGGTCCCCGTCCCATACCAGGTGCCCCGCTCAGGGTTGCAGTGCCAGGAAGAGAATCCCCATAACTTCTGGCTGAAAAAACCAGCGGGAACTGAGGCTCACAGAGGCTGAGTCAGCTGGAGCCCCAGGCAGCTCCTCTTAAAGGGCCCGCACACGGACTTACTGGACTCATTCCCTCTAAGCTTGAAGGGGAGGTAGCTTGAGGGGTCCCAGAGACATACAGGGAAGAACTGAGCTGTTTGGCATTGGAGCGACAGCTGGAGAGGGGGCTTTCTCCGGGACAAACGTGCTGTCAGAGAGGCCTTTGTTCCTTTGGTGAGCCCTTCCCTGGGGTGGCAGACAGCTGCCATATCTGGGACTCCAGCAACCTGGCTCAAACTGATTGCCCCACCCTGGTGACTCCCTGAGGCCCCGCCCCACCCAACTTTCAGGCCCACCCAAGCTGTTGCCAGTTACTTAACCACAGGATTGGCCTGTCTTGCATCCTGCTTCAGGCTTTCCTAAATTCTTTCAAACAGTAGCATCTGGTCTCAGCTAGCCCTATACCTCCCATTAAGTAATACACAGGAACAAACACAGGGAGGAAGCCAAAATGAGGAGATAAAGAAACAGGTCCCAAATGAAGAACAGAAAAAACCTCCAGGAAAAGAACTAAGCAAAATGGAGATAGGCAACCTAACAGATGCTGAGTTTAAAATACTGCTTATAAAGATGCTCAATGAACTTAGTGAGAACCTCAGCGAACTTAGTGAGGGCCTCAAGAACATAAAAAAGGACCAGTCAGAAATGAAGGTGGCACTAACTGAAATCAAGAATAATTTACGCAGAGTCAATAGTAGAGCAGGTAAAGTCAAGAAGCAAACCATCAATCTGAAATATAAGGAAGCAAAAAACACCCAATCAAAACAGCAAAAAGAAAAAAAAGAATCCAAAAAAATGAGGATAGTGTAAGGAGCCTCTGGGACAACTTCAAGTGTGCCAACATTCGCATCTTAGGGGTGTCAGAAGGAGAAGAGAGAGAACAAGAAATTGAAAACCTGTTTGAAACAATAATGGCAGAAAATTTCCCTAACTTGGTAAAGGAAACAGACATACAAGTCCAGGAAGCACAGAGAATCCCAAACAAGATGAACTCCAAGAGGCCCACACCAAGACACATTATCATCAAAATGCAAAAGGTTCAAGACAAAGACAGAATCTTAAAAGCAGCAAGAGAAAAGCAGTTAGTTACCTACAAGGGAGTTCCCATAAGGCTGTCAGCTGATTTCTCAAAAGAAACTTTGCAGGCCAGAAGGGAGTGGCAAGAAATATTCAGAGTCATGAAAAGCAAGAACCTATGACCAAGATTACTCTATCCTGCAAAGCTGTCATTTAGAATCGATGGCCATATAAAGAGTTTCCCAGACAAGAAAAAGTTAAAAGGAGTTCGTCACCACCAAACTGTTATTATATGAAATGTTGCAGGGTCTTTTTTGAAGAAAAAGATAAAATATATGAACCAACGAAATGGCAATAAATACATATCTACTGACAATGGAATCTACAAACAAAATGAACAGGCAGAATAGAAACATTCTTTTAGATATAGAGAACATTTTGTTGGTTGACAGATGGAAGGGGGGTTGGAGGAATGGGTGAAAAAGGTGAAGGGATTAAGAAGAACAAATTAGTTGCTAGACTGACAAACCTCAAAGGGAAGGGGGATTTGGGGGATGGAAAGAAATAAACCAAAGAACTTATATGCATATATGCATAACCAATGGACACAGACAACAGTGTGGGAAAAGGTAGGAGGGGGCAAGAGTGGGGAGGAGGAGGTCAATGGAGGAAAAATGAGGAACATCTGTAATACATTCAACAATAAAGATAAAAAAGTAAATAAAATTAAATAAAAAGAAATACCAATGATTTCTGGATGTTGATTTTTGTATCCTGCTACTTTGCCTAATTCATTTATTAAATCTAGTAGTTTTTTGATGGAGTCTTTGGCTTTTCTATGTACAATATCATGTTGTCTGCGAATAATGACAGTTTCACTTCTTCCTTTCCAATATGGATCCCTTTTATTTTTTCTTCTTGTCTGATAGCTGTGGCTAAGACTTCCAGTACTAAATTAAATAAGAGTGGTGAAAGTGGGCTTCCCTGTTCAAGCACTTATTTTAATCAAACTATCATGATGAACAGTATAACACTTTTGTTCCCAACTATGTAGAAAGAGGGCCATCATTCAAATCCTTCATTCTATAAAGATCTAGCATTTATCACGTGCTAGGAGCTAAGATATGGAAGTGAAAAAGAGACAGTTTATCTTATTGTTTAGTTTATGTCATTGATTCAGTAGTAATATTCTATAACTAAGGAGCCATAAATCCACTTAACTATATTATCATTTAGTCAACATTTCTCTACCCTTGCTTAAAAAAAAAAAAAAAAATGCAATTACCAGATGTTTTGCTAAAATTCAATTCAAGTAACTTTTGAGCAGAAGCAATATGCCAACACCAGGAATACAAAAATTAGTGTAATATGACCCTTGTTCTCAAGAAGCCCATAATTTTGAAAAAGAGATACACTATATCTTGGCATTCTTCCAACCTACCAAAATAGTAGTCCCATAAAAATGAGTCACACAATATTTCATCTTCTTACTCGTAGCTACATCCTGCTATAAAAGTAAAATACATCTTTCCCCCCTTGGTGTTTACAAGTTTCAAATGTTTATAGACTTATGTCTCTACTTCACTGTCTCTCAGCCAAGATGAATATATTTAGCTTTTTTTATCCTTTCCTTTTAAAGCAATTCCTCAATATAAGTAATTTTTTTTCTTTTATTGATTTCTTAGAGAGGAAGGAAGAGAGAGAATGAGATAGAAACATCGATGAGAGAGAACATCGATTGGCTGCCTTCTGCATGCCCCCCCACTGGGGACTGGGCCCACAACCTGGGCATTTGCCCTGACTGGGAATCGAACCAGCGACCTCTTAGTGCATGGATTCATGGTCAACCACTAAGCCACATCAGCTAGGCAATATAAGTAATCTTTTTGGTGACTTTAAATAGACTATTTCTGTCTAAATTCTAGTATCCAAACAACATAATTAAAATATTGTTCCAGATATGAAATCAATCACAATGAAAAACACCAACCTCATTGATGATGTAATGTTTCTGATTCTGTAATGTGTGTCAAGTCCAAAACACTCGTTTTTATTTACTTTTTAAATTTGGGGGATTATACTATTACATTGAAATTTTATGGTATTTATTCTAACACCTTTAATTGTATGGATTTTCCAGGTATCTCACATCAAATAAAAATTTAGAGATGGTACATACTCTGAAACAGTTGTGACTAACAAATAATGTAAAGCTATATTTCTTACAGTAACAAAAAAATAAAGCATTAAAATATTACTCATTAACTAAAATCGCAAATATACTCTTAAGCTCGCAAAAAAATAATTTTTCAAATGTCTCCACCATGTTCCTTTTAAGACCATATCCATACTTTATATACTTTATATTTCTTTATCTCTACAGAATATACCTACAAAGTGACTATACAATTTAAATCTTCTATTACTGAAAATACTTTAGCAAAGCCATGACAATATGGTCCAGGTATCAGGACTCACGATTGATGAAAAGAAATGATTAGGGCTGTCACAGACTAGATTCCTATCGGTTCAAAGTTTCAAATCTAATAGAGTTACTTACTTAAGGAGTAGAGGCATTTGGTGAAAGTATGGGTCTATATAAGCAAGTGCTGTACTAGGTCAGAACCATGTTTAGAACATATTTTCACAATTGTGTTCACACTATGGGGGAAAAACAATTCATCCAGGGAAAACTCATTCTCTTGCTCACAAAGGTTTAGCACTTAAACACAAACAAACTCCCTAGCCTGATACTTAGGGCCTTCTTCAATTTGGCTCCAACCCATATCTTTCCAGTCTTACCTCATACTACCCTAATTCAATCTACCCATTTTTGAGCCAAACAGAACTATAAAACATACTTGGGATAATTTAAGTGTTTTCCCATCTCAGAAGTTTTACATCCAACACTTCTTTAGGCTAACTTTATCTCTCAAATCTCTATTTAAATTCTACTCATCCTTCCAAGTCCAGGTTAAATGGCACTTCTCTGGAGCTTTCCCTTATTCCCCCACTCAAAACCTCTTCTAACCTTGACCAGCATTCAGTCATACTTCTCACATAGCTATGTCCACATTCTCTCTCATATATCTTACAGTATAACTGTTTATGTACATGTCATATTTCTTCTCTCAGATTTAATTCCTGAGGAGGTCTTTGATGCAGTCCCTATCTCTATTGTACCCCTCCCTCCATGCTTGGCACATACTAAGAAATGATAAATGTTTATTGGAGATAGTTTATTGAAATAAAAAATATATGTTATTGATCCAAAAACATGCCATAATAATATTCTCACTGATTTTCATTCACTAAGGAAATATTTATTCAGAACCCACTGTGTTCTGGAGTAGTAATATACCAAAGAAACCATAGGCCCTACTTTCTCAAGAAGTTTATGGCCAAGAACATCTTCTAGGCATCTATAGAAATTATTATAATAATAATAGGTAAGTAAAGAAGAAGTATAACAGAAACTAATAAGAAGGAGAGATGATTTCCAAGTAGGGATGGACATGAGCATAAGTTTTAATGTTTGTGTGGGTCCTGAAAAACAGGTAGTATCTGAATATGTAGGGATGGGGTAAGGAGTTTTAAGACAGAAGAAATAAAGGCCACTGAGGCAGGAAATCTCAGGATGATACAAGGAATAATCAGTAGTTCAACAAAACAGTGTAAGTGAAAGATTATACGAACACATGTTTAAAGAAAATATTTAAAGGCAGTTGGAGCTACATCTGATAAGACCCTGAAAGCCAAATAAGGAACTAGAGGTTTAGTCTGTAAGCAATGAGGATATATTTCAAAGTTCTTGAGCAGAGGCTGAGGTCAGAAGGTCTAAAGTGGACTGGAAAGGAAAGAGATTGTTGATAACAAGACAAGTGAAGAGGCTAAGCCCAAACTACAAGAGATAGTAAAAACTTGATCTAGGAAGGAGGCACTAGAGATAAAATTAGACAAACAGAAGAGATATTTTAGAGTAAAACCGACAGGATTAGGTAAGTTCTAGATGTGGAATGTAAACGTCTGCAAGGGATAAAAGAAGTTTCTAGCCATGAGGAAGGTGGTGCCATAACCAAAAAACCAAAATAGAGGACACTAAAGCAGCAGCAAGTCTGGATGGGAGAAAACCGAGTCCTGGTCATAATGAGTTTTAGTACCAGTGGACATTCAGGTGATAACATCAGAAACAAAATGTGTTCATCTTTGCCATTTAGAACAAAATATAGGCATATATCATTTTATTGCACTTCACTTTATTGCACTTCACAGACACTGTGTTATTTACACATTGAAGGTTTATGGCAAACCAGCATCAAGCAAGTTTATCAATGCCATTTTTCAACAGCATTTGCTTAGTTTGTGTCTCTGTGTCACATTTTGGTAATTCTAACATTACTTTAAACCTTTTCATTATTATTATATTTGTTATGGTGATCTGTGATCGGTGATCTTGGATATTATTGTACGTTGGGGAGGGGGCATCACAAACCACACCCATGTAAGATGGCAAATTTATTGATAAATGTGTTTTGACTGCTCTACCTACAGACCATTTCCCTGTCTCTCTCTCTCTCTCTCTCTCTCTCTCTCTCCTCTGGCCTCCCTATTCCCTGAGATACAATACTAAAATTAGGCCAATTAATAACTTTATAATGGCCTCTAAGTGTTCAAGAGAAAGGAAGAGTTGCATGTCTCTCACTTTAAATCAAAAGCTAGAAATGATTAAGCTTAGTGAGGAAGGCAAAATGAAAACTGAGATAAATCAAAAGCCAGGCCTCTTGTGCCAAACAGACAAGTTGTGGTGGAAATAACTGGAGATACGGTGGAAAGAGCAAGAGAACCAGAATTAGAAATGGAGCCCAAAGATATGACTAAACTGTTATAATTCTGTAATAAAATTTTAATGGATAAGCAGTTGCTTCTTATGGACAGCAAAGAAAGTGGTTTCTTGAGATGGAATCTACTCCTGGTGAAGATGCTGTTAAGATTGTTAAAATGACAACAAAGGGTTTAGAATAGTTATATTCTCTACTGACAAAATGAAAGGTTAAACTTAGTTGATAAAGCAGCTTCAGCGTTTGACAGGACTGACTCCAATTTTGAGAGATCTACTGTGTGTTAACTGCTATCAAACAGCGTCACATGCTACAGAGAAATTGTTTGTGAAAGGAGTCAGTCAAATGCAGCAAACTTCACTGTTGTCTTATTTTTAAAAATTTCCATAGCAACCACCACCCTGCATCAGTCAGCAGCCATCACCACTGAAGCAAGACCCTCTACCAGCAAAAAGATTAGGATTCACTGAAGGCTTAAGATGATGGACAGCATTTTTAACAATGAAGTATTTTTAAATTAAGGTATGTACATTGTTTTTTTTTAGACATAATGCTATTGCACACAATAGACTATAGTATTGTGTAAATGTAACTTCTGTGTGCTGGGGAACAAAAAAGAAAACATGTGACTAGCTTTATTGCAACATTCACTTTATTGTAGTGGTCTGGAACCAAACCCACAATATCACCAAGGTATGCCTGTAGACAATTTTGTGAAAAAAGGAAATGAGTTGAAATTAGTTTATCTTCAATATAAGATTCTGATTGATGATTCAAACATGCTTGTGACCTCAAAAATATAACTCACATAGGTTACATTATAGCAAATTAAAATCTAAAACCATTTATGTAAGAGGTTTTTATCTAGAACAAGCTCATATATCCAAGAATCAGAAACATGCTGAATGATGATTTACAGTAAAGGGATAGGTGGAAGTCTTGGAGAACCTTAGAGTTTAAAATCATGAGGTGAAATGTATCTGTTAAAATGGTAAATGCATATTTGTGGTCACTGTCATTTGACCCCAATTTAACTTCAATGCCACAGTAAGATATTCACGTCAGATGAACAGGACTGACTGAAAGACAGGTAGCAAGGGGTACTAACCAGGTCTCCTTGTGTATTTATTCCTTTCTATAATAAGTACTTATCCTCAATTAATAAAACTGAGTTGGCCTAAGATTTATACCTACCATATCCCTAGAATCTCCAAAAGCCTATGAAATAAATTATCATAAAACCACTTTCGTGGGGGACAAAATAAAAGTTCCAATTATAAACTCATGGGTATTAAAATTATTTAGTACTCATTATCTTCTCAAGAACAATATAAATTAAAATGACAACAATGAAAAGATGAATAGCATATAATTTGACAATAAATGTTTGCGTTATATGTCTTGAATAAGAAAGTAAAATCAAACATTTGAATTGTGGCTAATTTTTCTAATAAGTATATATTTAATCACTTATTGTTAATTCTGATAACAACATTTGATTTACTGGATAAAATGTCATTATTTCAGTTTAGCTCATAAGGGAAAAAAGCAACGAGAACTCAATTTTTAATTATTAATGTTTTTACTAATGATACAAAAAACAAAATGGATCAAAAGGTACTTTTTTCACATATGACTATCCCATTAAGATTATACAAATCACTTGTTGAAAACCACACTGATATTTTATAGCAATGCATAAAATATAATGGAAGAACATACATCAAATGTTAACAATAGAAAACTTTTTATCATAAGTTTATGGACAATTTATTTTCCTCTTTTTTGCTTATGTGTATTTTCATAATTTTCTGTAATTAATGTTTATCATAACTGTAGCTAGAAAAAAGATATCTTTTAAAAGAAAGGGGAAAAACATATTAATTTAAAAGAAACATACTTACCAGATCTCTGTGAAGCACCCAATTTGCATGGAGGTAATGGATACCATCAAGAATCTGATAAAGTAATGATTTAACCATAGATCTTGGCAACTGCATGGGCTTTTTATTTGCTTTTGATGCACGGTGAAACTTAATAATATGCTAAAAATTAAAAAAAATACTATAATAATACATAGTCTTTATGTCAATAACATATAATCAAGACTGCAATAAGTTCCCTATATTTTAAAATTACTTATTAAAGGCCAATAATGACACAATGAACAATAATTTGAATAACAAGGCCAACCAAAACAGAACTGATATTGGGGGTGAATATGACAGTTTTAATGTGGGTATAATGACTAAATTTACAGAAACCATTAAGATTTTCATTACATAGGACCATAAGGTAAAAATGGATGCTGTTTAAGAGCCTACCTAAAAATTGTACTATAGTCTCTACTGACAAAATGAAAGATTAAAAAAAAAACTATAAATCTTTACTAGTTTATAAAAAGTTAGTACTTAGTGCATTTGAGTATCATCACTAACTTTGTGTATATTTGGATTCTTGGAAAGTTCCAACTTCTTTTGGCACAGAATGAAATTAGGAGATAGTCCTAGTAGTTAATATTAAGAAATAACTAGAAAGTAGGAGAGAGAGAAAAATGAGAAATTTATTTTTGAAATAAATACAACTGGATCACCATAATTAAATTTTTATGTCATATTGTGGGTTATAAAAGTATTTCAATGAAAGGGATGGAATTCTACCTGTCTCCCACACCACCATCTCTACCCACCCTTATCCAAAACATTCCAAAGTGGGTACTGAATATCCTTGAAAAGAATGGAGAAAAGGAAGGAAAGTTCTCGTCAATATCTGCTGTAATAGCATTAACTCTGAAAGTTCCTTCAAGATCTATAAGTCTTCTAGAGTTAATCCTAAACAGATTTGTAAATGACATATATGACAAACCACACTATATTAAATCTAAATTTTATTATTCAAAATTTGAACTACTGACAAGTTTGAAATTTTTTTAACTTTTAGCAACTCTTCAAATAAAATGTTTAAATGCTCTGATTCCTAACTTTATTTATTTTTTTTTAAAGAAATCTATTTTTTAATGTTTTTATTGATTTGAGAGAGAGAGTGGGAGGAGGAGAGAGAGATATAAACATACATCTGCCTCCTTCGTGCCTCCTACCAGGGATCAAGCCCCAAACCTGGAGGCATGTGCTTTGCCTGGGAATCAAACCAGTGACCTCTTGATGCATGGGATGACGCCCAACTGAGCTACACTGGCCGGGCCTGACTCCTAACTTTAAAAGTTTGGAATTAGGATTTTTGCCTTCTATTATATATTAATAAAACATTTTTATTATTTATAAAACCACATATATACTTCTACATCGAGGAGTCGGTTTTAAATGAGAAAATGATACAAGAGACTGACCTTACCCTTAGAAAGGGAAACTATTTATAAGTACATAATTGGTTAAATTTGAGTTACTGTGTATACTGCAAAAAAGAGCAATTTTCACTGCATATATTAGTAAACTACCATTAATTACTTGCATAAAACTACAATCTCCCATTCAACATTTTGTGAAGTAAAATTTCTGATGATTACAAATACTATCTTCTCATTAAAATAAAATAATGTGTACTGCTCAAATTCTTTTAAATCTTTATTTACATTTATTAATAAATATTTGTTTTGAACTACAAGCAACAGAGCAAGTTTTCCTTCATATGAATTAGCAATAGTTAGTATATACATTTATTTCTCCATTCCTATATAAAATAGTTCTAAAAATACAGTGATTTTAGACTTACCCACAAATCGTGTTCTGCATAGTCAAACAGCAGCCACACCTTCCTGTCACTGTGAGAAAGGAACACCTTCTGCAATGCGATCACATTGGGGTGCTTCAATTCACGCAAAAGCTGAATGCAAGAGGAAGAGAGGAGTCACTATTCTGTTAACAAGTAGAGGAGAATGATTAATTTCCTGTAACTTCAAACCGAAATTTTTGCACATTTAGAAAATCCAGATAAGCAAAATAAAAAAACAAAAATACCACAAAATATTGTTATTCTGAGATAAGCTCTGTCAACATCTTTGTGCATATCTTTCTAATCCATTTTCTGTGCGCATGTGTGTGTTTTTAAAATGAGGTCATTTTAGCCCAGCTGGAGTGGCTCTGTGAACGGAATGCTGTCCCATGGACTGAGAGGTCCCGGTTCGATTCCCAATTCCCGGTCAGGGCAAATGTCTGGGTTGTGGGCTCGATCCCCAGTAGGGGGCATGCAGGAGGCAGCCAACCAATGTTTCTCTCTTACACTGATGTTTCTATCTCTCCCTTCCTTTCTCTCTAAAAAATCAATAAAAACATGTTTTAAAAAATGAAGTCATTTTAAAATGGTAAACAAAAGTAATATCATATTGCTAAATAATTAAATATATTTTGGTATGCGCATTTTTTTTACTAGAAGAAAAGCTACTTGAGAGAACATCAATGTGATTGAGACACAATGATTGGTTGCCTCCCTGAAAGACCCCGATGGGGGCTAGGGATCAAACCTGCAACCCAGGTACATGCCCTTGACTGAGAGTTGAACTTTCGACCCCTCTGTCTGCAGGCCAACACTCTAACCACTGAGCCAAATTAGTCACGACAAGAAGGAAAGATAACTGAATAAGCCCTACACTCATCCAAGTGTACAGCAGGTGGTTGAGGTTTTTCAGAAAAGTAGTGAGTATAGGGGAATGACTCTTGTACCCACTAATAAAAACTAGTGTAATAGAGCAAAGGAACGGGCCTTCACAAAGTAGAAGCTTCAAGCTGGACTCTGATAATAAGAAGGAAAGACAGACCAAACCAGCAAGTGAAAACTTAGCACTGGCACATATATAACAGGCAGTTGCTGCATAAAATATTGAACAACAATAGTATTAGCTGCTCAAGGTGAAAGCATGATAAATATACCTGCTTCAGGCTGTCCTTAAGGAGGGTTCAGATTTAATAGGTACAGAGAAACATACTCAATTTGATAAATATATTGAATGCCTTTTAAATGTAAACCTCTGTGTAAGATACAAAAAAGGGAGAACAGAACTTCTATTGAATACTTCCTATGTGTAAGATGATTATATTATGTTTTCTCTCATTTAATCCTTTATAACAACTCTCTTATACACACAGAACCTGAGGTTGAGTGTAATAAAAATAACTTGACCAAAATCAAACACCTAGAAAGAGGAGAGGTTTGCTGAAGTCCCTGTCTTTAAAGCCCACAAAGTAATGAGGTAGACAGACACACAAACAGATCAATGAAGCAGAGAAAAATAAATTGCTTACCCATTGTAGGAACTTTAAATGAGTAAAGCATACCTTGAGTGCCTGTGCTGAAAACATGTTTTAAAAAAAAAATCTAAACCTCCATCTCAGGATCTTTTACAGACTATTTCCCAGGTGCCTAATTCTTTACTACTTTCAATGACAGATTTCCTAGTTCCTCAATTCTCTCATTTTGGCTCTGTATCCTAGCTCTTTTTCTTCACCTACACCTTGACAACCTTGCTGGAAAGTGTTCTATCAGTTATGATTTGAGCAGGATTCCTGAATATGTCTCTCTGGGTTCTCCCTCCAATCCACATGCCCTGAAACAGCTAAGAGTTAACAGCTGGGACAGGCTGGGCTACACCTAGCCAGCCTTCTACTTTTTACAGCCAACCTCTGTATTTACAGTGGATCGAGGTGGGAAAGGAGGAGCTGGAAAGGAAATGACCAAGGAAGACATAATAGTCCTCCCTTGGTGGGGAGGGACAGAAGAGGTGAATAGGTGGGTGTATTGTTCAGCTATCAGTTACTATCTCTCTTCTCACTGCCTAAGAAATATTATGCAACCCTACTTCTTGCTTCAGATGCAAATGTTAGACATAAAATGCTCCTAAATGATGACTGAATCAAAGACAGTGGCGTTTTGAAGGGATTTAAGTTATATCCAGCTTCCGGCTTTTGAATGTTTTAGGCTATCAGACTCAGTAGAGTTATACATAGATCCACAATAAAAATCGAGACCCTGCTTGCCACGATCAACCTGGTAGCACTTGGATCCTGGTAAGAGGCCTCGCTTTAAGCACAATGACTTCTCTCTCTCTCTTTCTGACTGCTCGGTATTGGTAAACTTAGAGAGTCTGACTTTACTGAGTCTCTACCCAAAATACATTCTCTTTGCTGTCTGCAATGAAAGGAAAGGTAAGATTCACTTCATTTAAACCAGTCTATTAAAACACCAAACGTTAGCACAGATCGCTGGTGCCTAGACCTCACTTGTCTGGGAGAGGGGATATCACATGTAACAACATGTAATTAATACCTGTAAAAAATTATGTTCTCGCCCTGACCAGTTTGTTCAGTGGTTAGAGCGTCGGCCTGCGAACCAGAGAGACCCAGGTGCAGTTCCTGCTAAGGGTAGGTACCTTGGTTGCAGTTTGTCCCTGGCCCGGGTTGGGGTCAAGTAGGTGGCAGCCAGTCAATGTTACTCTCCCAAATCGATGTTTCTCTCGCTCTCTTCCTCCATCTCTCCCTCCTACTCTGTCCGAAGATAAATGCAAAAATGTCCTCAGGTGAGAATAAAAAAAAAAAATTATGTTCTCTAAAAGTAGATTTGTTGATTCCTCTACAATGAATCTACTTTAAGTTCCATATTTGAACATTATTTTGAATAGGTAATACATTTACATGGTTAAAAAATAAAAACTACATAAAAGGATAGATTAAGATGTCTCATTACTACTACTGCTCCCAGTGACCTCAGTCCCTCTTGCCTCCTAGATCAGCGATTTTCAATCTTTTGTATCTCATGGCACATATAAACTAATTACTAAAATTCTGTGGCACACCAAAAAATTAATTTTTTTGTCTATCCAACAACAAAAAAAATAGGTATAATTTTGCTTCATTCACACTAGACAGCTATTGTTGTATTGGCTTGTCATTTTTTCATTTGATAATATAAGGGAAAAGAGGTCAGCAACCCTGACTAGTCAGGTACTACGTGTTTTAAAAATTCTTGCAGCACACTGGTTGAAAATCATTGTCCTAGATAACAATTTTTATTAGTTGTGTGTGAATCCTTCCTGTGTTTCTTTATGCAAATAAAAGAAAATGTGAATATATATTTTTGTCTGCCCTTATTTACACAAAAGATAGCACTTTACCTTTTTTACTTAATCTATCTTGGAAATCTCTCAGTATCAGTACAGTATTAGTACTATAAAGAAATCTTTGTACAGCAGCAGTAAGTACATTAACATTGTTGTGCAACAGTTACCACTACCTTTTCTTCCCTTTCTCCAGAACTTTTTCATCATCTCAAACTGGAATTCTACCTTAAACAACATCTTCCCTTTCCCAGCCCCTGGTAACCACTATCTATTTTCTCTCATAAATTTGGTGGTGTGATGTAAACAGCAGAAACAATGCTCTTAATAGCTCAGGGTGAGATATTTAACCTTGTGTAGAATATGAAACCTGGGAACTATGAAGGTGTTTCCTAAAAGGGCTGTGAATCCAATAAATGCTACAAAATCCTAAAGAAAATGATACATAGGAAAAGGGGCCAAGGGGACACACCTAAGGAACTAAAGCAGAGATTAATCCAATCAATAGTTACTTTCAAGGTTGGTGTACTGATAAAATGATTAGCCATAAACAAATGCCACACAAAATTGTATTCCTTATCCCTATTTACTAAACCAAAACAATTTAAAAGGTAAATTTCTTTTTTTTTTTTTAAAGGTAAATTTCTTTACCACTATTTACTAAAGAAACAAAAACAGTAAACACTTAAATGTCCAGTAATAAGATAACTGATAAGTAAGTTATGGTATATCCACATATTATAGTCTCAAATATATATATGCTGAGAAGTTTTTAGATACATTAGAAAAGACTTGTGCTATAATACTGTGATGTAATGGAAAAAGGCTACAAAATATAAATATATTTATAAAACAGGAAATATACTAAAACATTAATATAGTTATCTCTGAGTGGTGGAATTGTGTGTGATTTTTCTTTCTGTTTTTGTTTAACAAGTTTTCTATAATGAACATCACCCTTATAATTCACACACACACACACACACACACCCCAAAAGACAGCCATTTCTCTCCAGAAATCTACTTACTGAGATAAGATACTACTGCACTATCACAGCTTCTCAGGCAGTTATACAAAGAAAGGAGATGGTTATACTGGTACTTTCCTTAATTCTTGATTTTACCAATGGACTTTAACCTCTTATCACACAAATATTTGTTCAACATGATATCATGCAACTATAAATATGTTTTAATCTCATCTAAACAGGAGTTAATCCCCTGGCCAGTTTGGCTAAGCAGTTCAGCGTTGGCCTGCAGACCAGAGGGTCCCGTGTTCGGTTCCTGCTAGGGGCACACCACCACAAAAAATTAATTAATTAATTAATTAAAAAGGAGTTAAGTATCATTTTCCTTTGAAAACCCCACACTAAATGATAACATTTCCTGTGCCAGATACTCAGAGTACTAACGTGATCCTAAAGAAAGAAGCCTAAGGAAGAATGTGCAATGAACATGCCAAGATTTGATCTGATATCCCTTTCAGGGCATTTAAGTGACTATAAAAAGTGTACAACTTTCACTAGTCCTAAATATATAACAACCTAAAGTTACAATCCTAAACTTTTTTCTCTAAAGCACTATTTAGGATCCTGACTGAATTTGGGGAGCTTGCGTTAGATTAACAATTACAGAATTCATTTTTATTTTTATCCACGCATCTTTCTTTCCCTTTATCCCCACTTTCTGTTCTTCAAGTCTCTGATGCCCCCATGGGTTCCAGATTCCTTTTCCAGAGTATCTGAATGAAAAGAACCATCTTATACTTCAATAACTCACTTACCTCAAAGTAAATCCAATTTCCTATTCTTATTTTATCTGTTATAAGTTAAGAATACGATCCATTTGACCACTGTCTTTCCCCTTGATGAGAATGGCTTTATTTGAGAAAGCATTTTAAAAAATGTATGGCCTATTCCCTATACCCCACCCCCCAAAATGAAGCAGTGTAAGTTATGGTAAATAGAAGATTCAATTGACTCCAAAATTCCCCAATATTCCTAAAATGAAATTTAAGAATTAGCATTTTAAAAACTTGATGTTTTCACAACTGTAACAGGACTTTTGGAAGCTAGTCTTCACAAGCACATAATACATTATAACCTTCCAGCAGGTGGCACTCATATCCTGAAAAGGGGTCTATAAAAACAGTAATCCAGTCCTGGTTAAAGGTGGCCCTAAATTTTTTGCTTTATTTTACTTCAGTGACACTGCTTAGATACAAGTCATAATTTTCAAGCAGGTCTATGTTTCCCATTGCCACACAATATAAGTGACAGTGAGGTCACAGGTATAATGTAAAAGTACAGGTTTTAGAGTTCAGAGACCTGAGTTTGAGTTCTGACTTAATATCTGTATAACATAAAGTAGGTTGTTTACTTCTTCCTCTGGGCCTCATGGAAGAATCAAAATATCTACTGCCAAACATACATAGTTTCTGTTAAGAATCAAGTGAACGTAAGTACATTAACTATACAACACAATGCTTAGAATATATTAAGTACATGACAAATTATAGTATTACTCTTATTATAACCACCACTAAATGCAAAAATGTTATGAGGACTAAATGACATAATATATGTAGAATGCCAGGCATACTATAAGTTCTTGATAAATAACAACTGTTTTTGTTGTTGTATATAGGTGATCTATGTCTAAGCCAACCTTTGGGTTTGCCTACTCTCTCACATGATCAGTAAGATACTTGATGCTTGTTGATGCTTTGTTCCCTTGCGTAGGAACTGTTGGGAAAACTTCTCAGGGCTGAGAGACTGAAGAAAGAGGCCTACAACTACAGAATTATGCCGAGATTTTATTAAGGGAACGTACGGATAGAAGCAGCATCTTGGCAGCAGCAAGATGTAGGTACCTGCACCTAAAAAGAAATGCGCCATCAACAAATCATCAAACAAGTGTTGGCGAGGGTGTGGAGAAAAGGGGACTCTAGTACACTGCTGGTGGGAATGCAGACTGGTGCAGCCACTATGGAAAACAATATGGTGTTACCTCAAAAAATTAAAAATTGAACTTCCATTTGACCCAGTGATCTCACTTCTAGGAATATACCCTACAAAGCCTGAAACACCAATCAGAAAGAATATATGTGCCCCCATGTTCGTAGCAGCACTATTTACAATAGCTAAGATTTGGAAAGAGCCCAAATGTCCATCAGTAGATGAATGGATAAAAAAGCAGTGGTACATATACACAATGGAATACTATGCAGCTGTAAGAAAGAAAGATCTCTTAAGCTTTGAGACGACATGGAGGGACCTGGAAAGTATTATCCTAAACGAAACAAGCCAAACAGAGAAAGACAAGTATCATATGATCTCACTTACTTGTGGAATATAATGAACATAACAGTCTGAGGAATGGGGTAGTCCCAGAGATGTGCAAGTGGGTACAGACTGACAATCCCCAGAAGAGGGAGTGGTGGGAGAGAGATAAACCACAAAACTTATATGCATGTATATATGAACAATGGACATGGACAACAAAGCTGGGGACAGGGCAGGGAGGGTGGGGGAGGAAGGAATCAGTGGGGGTGAAAAGGAGAAACATCTGTAACAAAAATAAATTAATTAATAAAAATTAAATTTGTCTTTGACTCTGGGAATTATTTTTTTAGTGCCTTGGGGTTTCAATAAACTCCTGACAAATATTTATTTCCTTATTCATCCCTTTTTCTCCTCAAAGTAAAATGAAAGGGAAAAAAAAGGAATTTAAAACTCATTTAGATACTTTTTTTTTTAAGCATTGTCTTCTTCTCCAGAATTCAGTTTCTAGTCCTCTTTTCCTTTTCTATTCTGCAGTCCCTCTTGACAGCTTACCCATGTGTCTGAAGTTTAACTATTACTTCTATGAAGAATCCCAAATGTCAGTCTCTAGCCCTAATCTTGCTCCTAAACTCTGACATCAGTGCATGTATACATCCACATGGAAATCCCACTGTACCTCAAAATCCACATTTCCAAAACAGAACATCACTTGTCCACCTCTATGTGCCTTAGTGTGTCTACTATTCCTGCAATTACCACCAGTATTTCCCAATCACCAAAGCAGGCTCAAAACCTTATAATCCATCAGTGTTCAGTCACTAAATAAGTGCTACATACTCTGCCTTTTAAAATATCACTCATGGTCCTGGCCAGTTTGACTTAGCGGTTAGAACACTGTCCTGAGGACCAAAGGGTCATGGGTTCTACTCCAGTCAAGAGCAGGTACCTGGGTTGCAGGTTTGATCCTCAGTCCTGGTCAGGGTTGTGCAGGAGGCAACCAATGTGCCTCGCTCACATCAATGTTTCTCTCTCCTTTCCTTTCACTCTCTCTAAAGATCAATGGAAAAATATCTTCAAGTGAAGATTAACAAGTAACAACAAATTATACATATATATATGTGTGTGTGTGTGTGTGTGTGTGTGTATCACTCACGAGTTCTCATTTTGATAATTAAAGTAAACCCTTAATTAGTATTTAAATTAAAATAAATCCTTAGCCCTGGCCGGTTTGGCTCAGCAGTTAAAGCAGTAGTTCTCAACCTGTGGGTCATGACCCCTTTGGGGGTCAAACGACCCTTTCACAAGGGTCACCTAAGACTATCAGAAAACGCTTGTTTCTGATGGTCTTAGGAACCAAGACACTGCTCCTCTATCAGATACGCCCACATGCAGATACGCCCTCATACGAGTACCACCAACCCCATCACGCCAACCCTATCACATACACCCCATACAAATACAGGTGTATGTAACAGGGTTGGCGCCATAGTGTATTTATGCAGACCAGTCACACATGTGTAGAGCAGCTAGTCTGTTAAAAGCAGCTACTGTGATGAAAGCAGCAGTATTGGAGGTAAAATGACACTTCGTGAATTATAATTACTGGGTAAATGTAAAATCATGTACTGTAAAATCAACTACTGCAAAAAAAAAATACATCTGTACCATGGGAACTTAATCTGGATGCTGATAGGTCTTTTTATATTCAGCTGTGGTTGATGTGAATACTGCCCCCTTGTGATAATAACAGGTATGTAAAAAAAACAACAACAGAGAATGGTAAATCATAGAAAACTTTAATGAACTATATTGGCTAAACTATGTCATGCATCATCTTTTGTATTATTAAAGCTATTGCTATATATTATTTTCATTAGCAAACCATCCCATGACAATGGATCGTGTAGAGAAGAACGTTAAGAAAAGAAAATATAGTGAGGATTTTTTGCAGTTTGGTTTTACCTCAATAATTACAGCAGGAATTGAGAAACCACAATGTGTTATTTGTTGTGAAGTTCTACCAGCCGAATCCATGAAACCGAACAAACTAAAATGCCATTTTGATAGCAAGCATCTGAGCTTTGCCGGCAAGGATACCAACTATTTTATAAGCAAAGCTGATGGACTCAAGAAAGCCAGACTTGACACTGGTGGCAAGTACCACAAAAAAAACGTAGCAGCTGTTGAAGCTTCATATTTGGTGGCACTCAGAATCACCAGAGCTATGAAACCTCACATCATTGCTGAGGATTTACTGTTGTCAGTGGCCAAAGACATTGTTCAAGTTATGATTGAAGATGAATTTGTTACCAAATTGAGTGCAATTTCCTTATCTAATGATACTGTCCACATAAGAATAGATGACATGTCTGCTGATATTCTTGATTAGGTAATCCAGGAAATTAAATCTGCTCCACTTCCAATATTTAGCATCCAGCTTGATGAATCTACAGACATTGAAAACTATCCAGTTACTGGTTTATGTGAGGTATATTAATGATGGCAACTTTAAAGCTCAGTTTCTTTCTTGCAAACCTCTTGAAATGACAACTATGCACGTGATGTATTTGACACAGATGGTTCATTTCTGAAAAAGCATAAGATCTCTTGGGGAAAGATTTGTGGTGTTTGCACAGATGGTGCTCTACCTATGCTAGAATGTTGATCTGGATTTCAATGTTTGGTATTGAATGAGTCACCAAAAGTTGTCGGAACTCACTGTACAATTCATTGGCAAATATTAGCAACAAAGACGCTGTCACTAGAGTTACAAGAAGTAATGAAAGCGTCATAAGTTCTGTCAATTTTGTAAAGGTGAGCACTTTAAACAGTCAACTTTTTTCACAACTGTGCAATGAGTTGGATGCGCTGAACAATGCTCTGCTATTTCACACTGAAGTGAGATGGTTGTCGACAGGAAAAGTTTTAAAACGTGTTTTTGAGCTTTGTGATAAACTCAAAATGTTTTTTAATCAGAAAGCAAGATCATAGTTCAAAGCACTTTTCAGCGATAAAAGAGAACTGCAGAAAATAGCTTACTTGGTTGACATCTTTGCCATCTTGAATGAGTTAAATTTATCACTGCAAGGACCAATTGCAACATGCCTCGATTTGTCTGAAAAGATCTAATCATTCCATATGAAACTTCAGCTTTGGCAAAAAAACAATTGGATGAAAATAAAATTTACATGTTGCCTACTTTATCTGCTTTCTTTGAGGAACATGACATTGAACCAGACAAAAAGATTACGATGATAATTTCTGTGAAAGAACACTTGCACATGCTTGCAGACAGAATTTCATTGTACTTTCCAAATCTACCTGACACCCCATTTGCACTTGCCAGAAGCCCATTCACAGTCAAAGTTCAAGATGTTCCTGACACAGCACAAGAGGAGTTCATTGAACTTATTACGGCAATGCAGCGAGAACTGATTTCTCTACAATGCCAGTTAGAAAATTCTGGATCAAGTGTTTGCAGTCATATCCTATTCTGTTTGAGACTGTGTTGCACCTTCTTCTTCCATTTCCAACAACATATCTTTGTGAAACAGGGTTTTCCAGATTGTTGGTTATCAAGTCTAAATACTGAAATAGACTTGTTTTGGAAGATGATCTTCGTTGTGCTCTTGCAAAGACTGCCTGGAGAATTTCTGATCTAGTGAGAAAGAAGCAATCTCAACCTTCCCACTGGCATTGGCTTTTTACACATACTGTCCCAAAATGTAGCAATGTAGTTTACAGTAGCAAAATTACAGTTATGAAGTAGCAACAAAAATAATTTTATGGTTGGGGGTCACCACAACATGAGGAACTGTATTAAAGGGTCGTGGTATTAGGAAGGTTGAGAACCACTTGGTTAGAGCCCTGGCCAGTTTGGCTCAGCGGTCGCGGTATTAGGAAGGTTGGGAAGGTTGAGAACCATTTGGTTAGAGCCCTGGCCGGTTTGGCTCAGCCGTTAGAGCATCGGCCTGCGGTCCAGACAGACCAGGGTTCGGTTCCCGCTAAGGGCGCGTACCTTGGTTACAGTTTGTCCCTGGCTCCGGTTGGGTTGTGTGGGTGGCAGCCACTTGATGTGTCCCTTTCCCATCGATGTCTCTGTCTCTGTCTCTCTCTCTCTCTCTCTCTCCCCCTCCCACTCTATCTGAACAAAAAATGGAAAAATGTCCTCCGGTGAGGATAAAAAAAAAAAGAATATATGAATCCCTATATTTATTGCAGCATTATTTACAATAGCTAAGCTATGGAAGCAACCCAACTATACATCAACAGTTGAGTGGATAAAAAAGCTGTCGTACATTTACACAATGAAATACTACTTAGCCATAAAAAAGAACAAAATCTTACCATTTGTGACAGCATGGAGGAACCTAGAGGGTATTATGATCAGTGAAGTAAGTCAGTCAGAGAAAGACAAATACCATATGATTTCACTTGTATGTGGAATCTGAAGAACAAAAGTAAGAACAAACAAAATAGAAATAGAGAATGGACTAATAGTTGCCAGAGGGGAAGGAGGTTGGGTTACTGGGAGAAAAATGTGAAGGGATTAAGAAGT